CATTGTGCTCCATGACACAGGCCCAGCAAATGCTCTTGAGCCATAGGTCTTTTCTTTGCGTTGTTGACCGATAAGTGCCAGATATCGTTTAGCTTGGAGCGCTGCCTTTTTCAGCCAGGGATATGCGCAACCAAAGACACTGCCTTGCCAACTTTGCAGGCCACCAGTGCTCTTGATGCAGCTTCAGAGAGGCAAGTGCAGAAGGCTTTGGACGACTTGCTGGAAGCGGGCGGGCGCACGACCATTGCCACTTGGTCCAGAAACATTGAACCGAGCGCGAAGCACTCGATGTTTTGCCCTGTGGCTGGGTCGACCCGTGAGTACGGCAAGCAAATCATGCCAACGCCGCAATGACGCCGCAATGATACCATTGCGCCAACGCCGTTCCAAAGCAGTTTTTCATGGATAGAAGGCAACTAGATGCTCTCGAGAGCCCAACCCTCCCTTTGGCTGGCGTTGCTTGAAGGAAATCCCAAACTTTGTGGCTCCCCTATTTCTTAGACAAACCCAACTGTTGGAACCTGGGCTTGGCAGACGACATGCCGCAGGTCATTGCTCATCGTCTTTCCACCGTCCGGCACGCACAGAAGATTTGCGTGCTGGACAAGGGCAAGCTGGTGGAGGAAGGCACTCATGAGGACGCTCAGATCAAGGGTCCATGGGAGCCCCCCCCTGCCCCATACAGGGCCCTTGTGCTCAAGCGAGCTTCTTTGACTTTATGTAATCCTTCAGATGGCTGTCCTTGCATGGGCCTTTCAGAATTCCAAGATAATTCCAGGTAGTGATTCTTCGCTCAACCTGTTATGAAGCATTACCTGCTTTTGCGGGTCGTTTCCACACATGAAACCTCACCATGTGGGCGATGCCACCATGCCAGTCCCACATTGCAAGGAGCTGATGCAGAAGAAGGGCGCCTATGAGAAATTGTTGAGGTTGCAGCTGTCCGCCAATAAGCTTGAGAAGCTTGAGGCTGGAAAGGCTCCAAGGGCAAGTTGGCTGGGGTAGACTTAGGATACATGTTACATTTTACCGGTGACTCAAAGTGAAGCAAACAAGAAGATATACGTTCTATAACTTCCCCACTCTAATCATGTTGGGTTGGCTGTGTTTGGCTTGGGTTTTTCTGGTTGGTGTGTCCTCGCTACCCCATCGAGCAAAGCTGGATGATGGCACTTTGCTGTTGAGTGTTTACCACTCACTGCACATGCCATGCAGGTGTTACTTTTACACAACTTTGGTCTTAAACAACATGTCCTTTTGACATGAACCCTGGCCGCAGAAGATGAAGCCAGACGTCACATGAATTGGAATTGCGCTAAAGAAGCCAGGGCTTTGGTGCCATAGAGGTTCGATCCGTGCCACTAACGGGCGAAGACCAGCGTGCACTTCAGCTAGCACGTTCTTTCTTTCTGTCTTTCTTTCTAGACAAAGTAGTGGCTTTTCTTTTGGATAAGACTAAGTCTCACCGCACCAATCCCCACTTTGATTGTCGCTGTTACCTTCAGCCCCGCTTGAAAAAGTGCCTCCTCCCTCATGTCAGACCACCCCTACGATAGACTCTCTCAGCTCGGAGGCTGCTCCAGCGCTGAAAGCGGTGGAGGAAGTGAAGGCAGCCCCTGAAAGCCAGGCGCGGATGGAAGACGCAAGCCGTGAATTGGGCGCGCTTTGCGCTTTGTGCCCAAGAGAATCCCCTCCCCCCCCCCGAGCCACAAACCCCAGGGGAAGATCGAAGGGCTATGTTGCTGCGGCCTGTGAGGAAGAATTTGCTTTTGACAGCTCCTGATTGGCAGGAAATGGCAGTGCACAAAACTGCAGTCGCAACATGTGACAAGCAAGGTAGCGAAGCAACCCATGCTGCTGCTGCTGCTGCTGCTGCTGCCGCCGCCGCTGCTGCTGCTGTTCGTTGTTCACACTGGCTGGCTGCACTAGGTTTCTTGAGGTTTTCTAGAAAGAAGGATCCCTGGAAAGAATGGAAATGGAAGGTACCCCTAGAGGGCTTGCCCCTTCGTCCTCCATCAAGGCCTTCAGCAAAGGAACCGGAAACCGCCAGGTGTATGAGGGTGGCGCCGGCTTCCTGCTGGAAGCCAAGGCCGGGGTGACGAACGCGGGGCGATGGGTCACCCATCGGTTCCCCCACTAAAATCGACTACAGAAAAAAGGGTTCCCTTATTCTAACCTCTCTACTGGAGGACCTAGTTAAATGACACTTGGCATAGGCTCACTGAATGCGGACCGGGCCCAAAGAAGGGACCCCTCAGAAACGGCACTCAAAGAGGGAACCCGCTTCACCCCTGAACCGTGGCAAGGCCTTGGATTCAACAGGGGCCAGGTTCAACCATGGTCAAATGGCCACGTGTGACCATGCGTTGAAGGATGCAAAAGGAACCGGTGCTTCTGTTGAATCACGCCATGTTTTTTTGGATTTCGTGGCTTTGGAGTATCGTTGTTTACAGACGGAGCGAGTAAAGTGAGTGAGCGACCGGTGGCTCCACTGATCACTGGACAAAAACAAGAACGGTTCCGCCTTTGCGCCGGTGTTTCCTTTGCGGGAATCACCATCTTTCTTGGGGTCTGGACTTCTTGGCGTTGTGCCCTTGAATTCCTTGCTGGGGGTCTGTTGGACCGCAAGGCCCAGGAGGCCGAGGTCACGGAAGTGGACGGAGCAGAGCCAGGACCGCTGGGATTTGAGCAGCGAGGTTGTCCATCTAGGTGCCCTTTTGTACCCCTTTTTTGATTGGGAGGGTTCCCCTGCTAAAATAGACTGCAGAAAAAGTGGAGAACCCAGCCATACTTGCCTAACACCAAGATGGTTTTCTGGCTTGTTGGCTTGCTGAAAACCAAGATGGTGTTCAACATCTTTTCTTTGCAACTCAGAATGGGTTTGCTTTTGGTGACGTTTGGTGGGAGAAGACTTCTGGGGTAGACTTAGAATACATGTTACATTTTACCGGTGACTCAAAGTGAAGCAAACAAGAAGATATACGTTCTATAACTTCCCCACTCTAATTATGTTGGGTTGGCTGTGTTTGGCTTGGGTTTGTTTGGTTGGTGCGTCCTCGCTGCCCCACCGCTACCCCATCGAGTGAGTTTGCCTTTGGTGACGTTTGGTGGAAGACTTGAAGACAGGGAATTCCCATGATCTTCTCATTATGTGGCCAAAAGGAATCCACCCTTTGCAGCAAAGGGCATCGTCGCATTCCAATAAGGGAATTAGTAGGGAATTGGTTTGTAAAAAAGAAACTAAACAACTAAACAGAATATAAAAAAATAAAATAAACAAATATGACAACTGACGTTTGGTGGAGGAAGACTCGAAGACAGGGAGTGTTTTGAGCTCGTTTTGCGGCGTCGACTTGGGCGGAGCTTTTAGGAGACAAGGCCGGGCTGGCGCAGCTCGCTGCGGCCTATGACTTCGAGAAGGATCTGGGCAAGGCATATGCGGTGAGCCTTGACTGCTAGATCTGGCTTTAGCTGGTTCAAATCAATAAAATAAAATAACACAAAAGCCCAGAAAAAGTGAAAGGTCTAGAGATTTTTTGGAAATCAATAAAGTAAAATAAACCAAAAGCCCAGAAAAAGTGAAAGGTCTAGAGATTTTTTGGAAATCAATAAAGTAAAATAAACCAAAAGCCCAGAAAAAGTGAAAGGTCTAGAGATGTTTTTTTGGATTTTATGGGGGGTTTCCACTAAACCCACAAAACGTGAAGCTTTTTGCGGAGGGGTCTCGCCAGCAACCAAGGCGGCAAGTCTGGAATTTGACGAAGCAAGACTACAAGTACTACATTATCGGCGTTGGCTTTACCGTCTTGGGCCTGCAACTCAGTAGTTTGAATGGACTCGAAGATGGTCAAAGACTGACTGACGAATCGAGCGCTGATTGGCGACTCTACCATGAATAGATACGCCCGCCTTTGTAGATCATCACCGTCTCTTGGATAGACTCCTTTAATATCAGCCTTCGATTCGGGCACAGGCGGTGGGGCGTGTCCATCTGCTTCTGTGAGCGTTGCGTTTGAGCCTGTGACAAGTGACAGCCTCTTTGAGGTTCCATGGTGATGCCGTACTTCAGCGTTCAGTTTGCGCGGACTGTGAACATATTCAATCAGCCACCTGCAGTGCTGGACAAAAGCACGCACCACTGGTGCGCAGCTCAGTTTTGCTTGTTGCTTTTGAGGCCGCCGCATTTGCATCCGTATCGTAGCGCAGCTGAAGGTACGCCGCCTACAACGAGCCGGTCATTGCCACCAACGTGTCGAGCCTATGCATGCTGATGCAGGCATTGAGCATTTTCTGGCTGCTGCCGCTTGGCAGGTGAATCATCGATAAGCTTCAATTTGCTTTGGCCAGACCTTGCCATTTAGATTGACCACAAGAAGTCAGACTGCAGAGTTACACCCCGGCGGCTGAAAAAAGAACAACAATCAAACAAACAACTTGGCGCCATGTGCCAGAACGCCCCGTGGGTGCGGCGCCGCGGCGGTTTTTCAGCTTGAAGCTGCTGCGAGCGAGCGAGGCAGTCCATCGGCGCCGCCTGGGCCTTCGGAAAGGCCGGAGAGCTGCTGACGGTGAGGGTCCGCGAGGCGCTCTTCGACGCCTTGATGCGCCAGGATGAAGCCCCGTGCGAAGCGTAGCGAGCGGGGTGCGGGCAGAAGCGGCTGCTGGGGATTTCTTGTTCGAGGTTTGGCTCAAGGGGTCCGTTTTACCAGGGGGGTGGAACCACGTCATTTCGGGGGGGTTGCCGGTTACCAAGGGGGGTCGCCACTTAAAGGCATACCCGCGGGGAATCCCAAAGCCGCGGCAGAAGCAATGAGCCTGGGAGGAGATCACGTGGCACGACAAGCAGGGCACCGCCCAGGTCTTGTGGAGGTTGGGGTCCGACATCCCTCAGTTGAAGAACCTGGTGGGAGCACCCGTGGCTGCAGCAAGCTGAAGGGCCGAACGAGCAAAATAAGAGAAAGAAAAAGAGAAAATAACAAGAAAGAACAGAAAGGAGAGAGATAATCTGGGGTTGCCGTGCAACCGACTGAGGCCAAATGCTGCAATGTACTGTAGACGTGCTGAAAATCCCTAGGCGCAACGAGCCAAGCCTCAACCGCACCATGTTACACCTGCGGAAATGCAAGAATGGGGCCGCAAGCATCCTCAAAATTTTTACACCTGACGCACAGAGCCCTGAGTAATTGCAACCTTTGGGGCCTAGGAGAGATGTGAAGAGCTGCAAGGCTGGGAGGTGCAAAGTCAAGGCTGGGAGGTGCAAAGTCTAGCTATGATTTGCACTCCGATGTTTTTTCTCCCAATGATGCTTGGGCAATTGCGTTATCCTCGGACATGCGCATCATCTTGATTGACACTTTGACACAAAGTTGTTTTGAATAGGTAGCTAGCAAAGGTACTGGTTTACATGTTGGGCACGGCTAAAGCGGCGAGGGATAGTGTGGCTTTCATCTAAGCAATCAAAGCACTAAGCGTTACTGAACGGTCTGCCTAAGGCAAATATTGCCTCATTCGCGAATTTCTTCTTTACCGTGTTCATCGGTATTGGCGTCGCCATGTACTTCAACTGGCGATTCAGCTTGTGCATCCTGATTACCATCCCTTTGCTGGGTATCAGCTCCATTGGCGTGGCCATGAACATGAGGAGGATAGACGGCGACTACTCCAGCGGCATTGTGTCAGAGGCCGTGAACAGCGTGAAAACGGTGACGGCCTTTGGGCTCCAAAATCGGCTCTTGGATAGGTACCAAACCAAACTGGAGTCGCACATGAAAGATGAGCAGTCCATCCGCAAGATCAGCGCCTTGGGCACAGGGGTGGCCTCAGCCTCCGTGTTTATGATCATGGCATTGGCCGCTGCTTGGCCGATAGAAGACTGGACTGCGATCTAATCTTAAATCTTGTCGGCTTGTGGCGCCTGGCCCATTGGCGCCTGGCCCTGTTGGGCCAAAGCCGACTTTGGGTGCAGGTTTGTTTGTTTGTTTGTTTGTTTGTTTGTTTGTTTGTTTGTTTGTTTGTTTGTTTTGTGTGAGTGTGTGTTTGTTTTTGTTTCCTCTTGTGTGTCCCTTTGAGCAGCCCAGGTTTGGGGCATCAACGTGTTCATCTCCCGCGGGCTCATGCAGGTGGACATCGCTACGATCATCATCATGAGACTTTCCGGAGTGATGTTTGCATTGCCCGGTTCATTGGGTCGCGAGTCTTGTGGTTGAGCTCGCCTGAAGCGATTCTTCTTGGATCCCTTCTCTTCAAAAGAATGGGCCAAAGCCTGGAAAATAGGTGGTTTCTAAAGAGAAGGATGAAGAAAATGGGGAATCAAACCTTTGGTTGGGATGATTGGTCGCAGCCGTGTGGTTGCATTTACCCCTTGCAAGTCTTTGCACTTGGTGAGCTCACCTGGTGAAGCGGTTCCCACGAAGGTCCCTGAGGGATGCCTTGATGGTTGCGATGATTGGAGACGCCAAGGACATTGGTCACCACGGTGTCGGCCTTTGGGGAGCTGGCCCGGCTGGTGGCAGACACCAGCTTGCCTCAGGAGCCGGCGCGAAGGATGCGGCCGCTCAACAGGGGTCCGTCCTGAACACGGAATGCTTTGTGAAGTGGGTGTGGTGGTCAAACCATACTGTGGATGGACGAAGTCCATTTCGCACCACCTCAGAGACCTTGGAAGGATGATTCCCCTGTAAATACCAACAAAGAATGGTTTCCCATGGGTTCCAAGTGGTGCAGCATTTTGTCCGTCCACAGTAGAGTGACCCGGAAATGGGTTGCCCTGGAAGATGGAAACAAAGACCAAACCTGACCTGTGGTCCAATTCCTGGTGGTTTAACTTGGACCCATACCCCGATGGGCAGCAGAAATTAACATCATCAAGGGCCCCTCAGCATTCTGGCTATGGTTGAGGGGAAGATTGATTGCCCTGTCAATACCAACGGACAGTACAGTTTCCCATGGTTTCAAAGTGGTGCAGGATTTCGTGCATCCACAGCAGGTGCAGTTCATTGGGCCTTTGACCTCAAAGATTCCAGCGTCGTCTACCCGTATCCCGGATTGCAGAACCGCCCGTGGTAAACCGCAGCGATCCAAGTGCCTGGGTGTAGCTTCTCCTGCTGACCGCGCCGCAGGAGTCGGCCAGAAGGATTTTCAACGTCATCGCGCGAAAGTCCAAGATTGACCCCTTCAGCGCTGAGGCATGCGGTTTTGTCTCCGGCACATGGAGCCACGACAAGGATGTTGTGTGGTTGGTCGTTTCCCTTCCAACAGGGCAGAGCGGCTTGTTTTTTGTCGTGGCCAGCCATCGAGTGAAGCTTGACAGGGGGGCACGGTTTGATTGCCCCAAGTGGGCAAGCCAAGGGATATCAACCCAAGTGTTTACCTTTTGGGGGAGCAAACATTTGGGTCAGCCTACCTTGGGGTCCAAGTGCGGCCCTGAGCTCGTGAGGGCAAGAAGCTGGAGGTGGTCGAGGGCAAAGTGGAGTTCCGTGAGGCGCCGCTTCTTTTTTGTTTTGGCCAAAGGGACACCTTCCAAGGGGCGGCATGCTTTTGGAACCGGTTCAAGCCTTCTATACGGAATCCCGGTTCCGCCCCTCTTGGGAAGGGTTGGCATCTCCATCGTCGGAAGAAGGATTGGTAGAGTTCGGACCAAGGAGCCCTTCAGTAAAAATATGTGGATGAGTCGGGAGCACTGTCTTTCGCCCACACAATGTGCTGCATGCACGGCCCGCCTTCGCAATCGATCGATTCAGTCCTATTTCCGAGAAAAGCCCTCCATGATTGCACGGGCATGTAGATGTCGTGATGCCAGACTTTGAAACCACTCGTGCGACATTTTTGTTTTCCGGTGCGGGCCGGGAAGTGTGGCACTCCGCGAGTTGGAATGGAACATGGGGCCGTCACGTGTCCTTTCCCTCGACTGAAGTCATCCGCGGAATGTTGGACCTCCCTCCAAACCAAGCTGCTCTTGGACTCAAGGAGGGGCGCAAAACCAGTTCGTGTGGCCATGTCAGCATCGGCTAGGTGTACTTCCGCTATGCCACCCGCCCCAACCTTGCGGTGTTCGATTCTCTGAGCTTTACCGTGGAGGCCAGGGCCCAGTCGTCTCAGTGGAATCCTCGTGCAAGGCAGTTGTAGTGGCGTTGGTTCGGAATGTTGGGACGCTCAAGTGCCGTTTCCTTGCGTGGACACCTAAAGGACTTTAGTACACCTCCGCACAAAGCCGGGTTTCGAGAATGATTGCAGATGCGTTTTTGTTATTGGAGTGTTTTTCTTGCTGGTGCTAAGTATGGAAAAACCCATTGGTGTTGAGATTCCCTGAAAGGAAGCCAGAAGGGATAGTTTTTCTCGGGTCATTCCATGTTTCATTCCCTGCTGAGAACCAGCCAGTTTTGGGACGGCTGCAGGCCAACACGACCACAGCCCTTGTGGGCCCAAGCGGGTGCGGAAAGAGCACCTCCGTGGCTGGGTGAGAAATGGAAATGCCATGCATCCCAGGGATCCCTCCAAGGCAAATTTGTTTATTGGGGCATCCTTTCCAAAGTTTGGCAGACTGAATTCCCCATACGTTTCTGGTGAGAATCAGTCCTTTGGGCCTTAAGGGGTGCGGGTGCAGCTGTTCTTCTTGCTTGAGTCGAGGAATTGGCAAGTCAAATCATCCCAGGTATCTTTGATCCAGCGCTTCTACGATCCGCTAGGCAGGATCCACTAGCAACAGACAGCTGCTAGACTGCCGAGCTGCTTGAAGCTTGTCTCGGTTGTTTTGTTTAGTGGCTTCCCGACTCCAAATGGTCAACTCCGAAGTGTTCAAAAGGGTTCCCTTTTTCCGCCAGGGTCATTGGGCAACTGGTTTGTGAATGTGAGTTGCATTCAGCATGTTGGCAGGTGGTGCAATTCTCCTGGACGGGCATGACATCAGGGAGCTGAACTTGCACTGGTACCGTGCACAGATGAGACCTGTTTGAAGACATGTACTGCGAAGTTGCGCTATCATTGGCCATTTGCTATGCCATGAGATGCTGAAGAAATATGAGTGATAGCGGAGAAACATCATGGGGGTGTTCACCACATGGCATGTGTGAAGGGCAGCGGGACACCCCCTGGTTCAACAAGCCAGACAAGCCAATCCGCCACTTGGGTCAAGCTCTGCAACACGGCAGTTTACACATTCACCTATTGACACGGTGACCGACGCGATCAAGGTGTGGGGTTTAGGCTTTGGCAACTTTGATCGGGCTTGAAAAATGAAGCCATAACTCACCCAGCCAGTGGGCGCACTTTACACTGTTTTCCTTGGTGGCTCTCCCTTAATTTTAGTGGTGGCCCAAAAAGTGTACACATTTTTTTGTTGGCTGGTCACTGGCCAAGTGAGATAAGAGTTTGTGCAGCTGAGGAGCTTGGTGCAGCAAGAGCCCATCCTATTTGCCCGCAGCATCTTGGACAACATCCGCTACGGCCAGGAGGAGCGATTTGCTTGTTTGGGGTTCGGATGGGTCCGGAGTCCGGAACGAGCTTGCCTTTACTGCGAGCTGTTTCAATTTGCCCCCAAGCACGTGCTAAAGGCTTCACCAAAGAAGCTAGGAGTCGACGCCAGGACAGGAACCAGATCGGATGCAGTGACTTTGCCAACCCATGGTAGGGAAGCTGGTCGATCAGTGTTGTTAGAATTAGCTCCGGTGAACAGAGGGTTTCAAACGGCGGGAAGTGCCGGGCAACAGCTGGATTGTGGAACGGTATTGTGAGCTTGTGGCCAAACAGGAACGGCTGCAACTGCCTTGTGTTCAGGGAACGGGTCACGGTTGACGTCCAGGTGCGATCCTGTGGCTTGACCATCGAAAGAGCGCGAATCATCTTTTTGCAGTCAGCGAGAGACCTAGGGTAGCTTTCAATCCAGAATTTGGCTACGGCCCATTCATCTTGCACATGGAGCATTCAATCACCTGGCGATCGCCTGTCATTCCAACTTTGGGCCAGCGTCCATCACGCCGCCATCGCAGCACAAGCGATAGGCCACCTGGGAAAAGCGGGTGCATGTGTCGCGATGACCAGCGCTGGTGCCGGGGCAGTGCCTCGTAGCAACCCTTTTCACATGAAAGCTCAGCCCGACCCAGTATACCCTTCCTGTTTGGAGCCTGAGCCGCCTGATGTTCACAGGGCCATCATTCTATATATATATATATATATTATATTTCTATATATGGTCCCGTGTTCCGTGTTGCTACCCCCCCCCCCCCCCCCCATAATATGGTATGGGTCCCCCAGGACCCCCCCCCGGCCCGAGCCCCCGGATCCTGTCACCTACGGTCCCACCCCCACTCCGACCCCCTGAACTCGCACCCCGACACCCCGGCACCCCCACCTCCAGGACAAGCCAACCCGCAACTGCCCGCAACCAACCATAAACCAACCCTAAACTAACCCTAAACGAACCGTAAATACCCTCTAAACCAAACCCTAAACCGTAGACCTCTAAACCTAAACCAACCCTAAATCAACATAAGCCAACCGTAAACTAACCCTAAACCAACCCTAAACTAACCCCAAATGCACCCTAAACCAATCCCTAAACAATAAACCCTAAACCTAAGCCAGCCCTAAACCAACCCTAAACTAACCCTAAACCAACCCTAAATACACCCAAAACCAAACCCTAAACCGTAAACCTAAACCAACCCTAAACCAACCCTAAACCACCCTAAATCAACATAAACCAACCCTAAACCAACCCTAAACTAACCCTAAATACACCCTAAATATACCCTAAACCAACTCTAAACCAACCCTAAACCACCACAACCCAACCACAGGACCAATCACAGGGGGGGTTACTTGTGTGACCCATGACCATTGGTGGGGGGGGGGGGGGGGCTGGCAAAGCTGTACCATATATATATATATACAGACTCATCGCAATTCCCTTAGCTTACTAGTAGACAGTATACGGGGATGAGCCTTGACAAGCCTTCCGCCATTCCATTTCCTACAAGGTACAGTTGGCCGATACTTGGCAAGTTTCACACTCCACGAACCCACCAGCAAAGCGAGCCCGTATTGAGATCCATGGAGCCCCCCCCACTCCCCCAAAGCCCTCCCAAAGAAAAGTGGCCTCGACCATCTTCTTTGGTTTTTGAGCATCATCCCCTGGATATCACCGTCTATGATATCGCCCATTCTCAAAGTCACCCATAGAAACACGCCCAGTTTCTGACTCGATATTTTGATGCCACCAGTAGCCAGCTAGTCAAACTTCGCTCGCAGGACGCCACCATGGAGGAAGTAGAGGCCGCCGCCAAGGCAGCGAACGCAACCGACTTTCTGGCGACCATGCCCCAGGCAAGGCGGATTTCCTTTTGAGCGCCCAAACCTCCCCATTGACCATTCAGGTCTACTACCTGGTTTCATGGCCAGGGTTGCGGCATGGGCGAGCCCAAATGTCAATGGATTTTGTGTGCTGCTTCCGGGAAAGGGGAAGAGGGACAGGTGCATTGGATCAAGTTGGCTGAAACTAAATGGGCTCACCTGGTTTTTGTTTGGTGAATTGCTGCCTTTGCAGGAAAAAACTGGACACTTGGTGGGATGCGAATTCCTCAAGGGATATGGAGGGATGCCTAAGGAACTCATGCGCAGAAGGTGCGGGTGTAGGACCTTTAGGCGCATCTCAACAGCACAAAGATGACACAATGAGGCAAGTAAAGAAAGCCGCAAAGAGCCGCGGATTGATTGCCCTGGTTGATCCCTGACTTGTTGCAACACGCGAGCTTCGATCCCCAATCCGAGATGGCAGCACTGCAACTGCGATTTCTGCCCAACAGCATTCTGAAACATGCAGTCGGCTTGGTCATTCCCAGGACATCATTGAGTTGGGCTGAGCCTTTTTGTGCCCTAGACCAACCCTAAACCAACGCTAAACCCACCCTAAACCAGCCCAAAACCAGCCCTAAACCAACCCTAAACCAGCCCTCAACCAAAGCCAAGCCTAAGCCAGCCAGCCCAAGCCCGACCCCTAAACCAACCACTGCCCCAACCAAACCTAGACCCACCCTAAACCAGCCCTAAACCAACCCTAAACCAACCCCAACCCATCCCTTAGACAGCCCCAAACTAGCCCTAAGCCAGCCCTAAACCAACCCTACTAAACCCAGCCCTAAACCAGCCCTAAACGACTAAAACAACCCCGAGCCAACCCACCAACCCTAAACCAACCCTAAGCCAACCCCAAACCAACTAAACCAGCCCGAAACCAGCCCGCCCTGTATCAACCCAAATCTCGACTCTCGGATCCCGAATTCCGGGTTGGTTCAGGGTTGGTTCAGGGTTGGTTTAGAGTTGGTTTAGGTCTGATTTTGGGTTGGTTTAGGGCTGGTTTAGGGCTGGCTTAGGAATGGTTTAGGAATGGTTTAGGGCTGGTTTAGGGCTGGTTGATGGCTGGTTTAGTATCTAGTGGCTGGTTTAGGGTTGGTCTAGGGGCTGGTCTAGGGGCTGGTTTAGGACCGGGAAGGCCCCATCCTCGGATTCGGGATTCGGGATTCGGGATTCGGGATTCGGGATTCGGGATTCGGGATTCGGGATTCGGGACCGGGAAGGCCCCATCCTCGGATTCGGGATTCGGGATTCGGGATTCGGGATTCGGGATTCGGGATTCGGGACTGGGAAGGCCCCATCCTCGGATTCGGGATTCGGGATTCGGGATTTGGGATTTGGGATTTGGGATTTCGGGACTGGGAAGGCCCCATCCTCGGATGCGGGATTTGGGTTTTGTCATTTGGGATTCGGAATTCGGGATTTGTGTGCGAATCACATTCTCCACCAGCTTCTCCGGATCGCGTCTTCTCAGGACGCACCTTTTTCGCATCAAAAGCGATGGTATTTTGTCCCAAGTGCTGGAAAGTTTCAAATCCCAAGCTTTTCAGCAGTTTGTTGGCCGTTCGGATGTTCACCGAAGCCCAGAAGCTTCGGAAAAGGAGCCCATGTAGCCAGGGCCGAGCACCCAAGCATGGGAGTTTTCAGGAAGGTATAACTCGTAAGGAAGACTGACCCCACAGCAAAGATGGTTTGCTCCATGTTTTACAATCTTAGTATTTCATACCATGCCTTTGGCATAATAAGGGAACAAGCCCCAAAACGGTTTGCGCAAAGCAGTGCAGGGGTCTGGCAGGAGAAGCCTTGAAACTGCGGACAAGTTCTTCAAACCTTTGCTCACTTCCTGAGTTCATGGACTTTAGTCACTTTTTGGGTTTGGACCATTCTAGTGGCAAACAAAAAGTCTGGTTACTTTTGTTGGGCAGTCTGCTCAGGAAGCTCAGGAAGTGAGTTTGTGAAACGACCTTTCTGGGTGAACTCTCCAGCCGTCCCCTTAGGCCATTCAGGCTTTTGGGGTTTAGTGGGAGTTTCCATTCAACCCACTAAGAATTTTAATGGGCTGGTAGTTTCCATTCAACCCACTACAAGTTAAACAAGCAGGGGATCCGAAGACAGCCCAGCTTTGTGAGAACTCAAGCTGCATTCTAGGGGTTGATTCCTTGTCCATTATTTTCAGCCATGGTTCTTTTCAAAAACCGATCGCAATTTCCCCAGGGTTTTTGGTGATTTTCTAGAAAGAGGGATCCCTGCAAAGAATGGAAATGGAAGCTACCCCTAGATGCATCAGCCCACTAAGAGTTTTAATGAGATCCGAGGACAGCCCATTGTGAGAACTGCTGCATCTCTCTCCGCATCGCTGCCAGGGCTTCAGCACCCAGGCGGGGCATCGAGGAGCGCAGCTCAGCGGTGGCCAGCCGCTGGGTTCAACGGCGCGGCGGCCGGGGCTTTTGGGCGGGGCCGTGTATTTTTCATGTTCCCGGATGAAGCCCCGGTTTATGAACAAAGAATCAAACCAGATACATGAACACAGCAGATGTTTTGTTGCAAAAGGGAGGAATCCGCAATGAAACCAGATACACCCCCTCGAACTGGCGAGTGATTCGTCCGGGGTCGACAGTATGAAAGGCATTCACCTTGGCTCCTTTTTCTTTGGCCCACCACTTCAAGGGGGTGGGGTGACAATAGAAAGTGCATGAGGTCGGTGGATCAAGCCCGCAAGCATCGGAAACCAAGCCCCTGGGTAGGTGTAGTTCACCAGGGGGCGACTTCCAATCATGAGCAAGGAGCCAGCCCTTACGATTCCCGTGCTTGGTGCAGGGTTGCGATTTATGCATTACCTGCAGGATGAGCGCGTTTTCCTGGCATATGCGATTTTCTCGCACACGGAATGCATTGTATGCATTGTGTTGCACCCAATTGCATTGAATGCCGTCCATCCAAATATGCATGCACGCATGCAAGTCCAATTCACGATCCACGCATGCAAGTGCGTTTCTTGCACTACAGCCATGCGTGAACTGGCAGAGGAGGTGAGAGGTGGATTTTCACAGAAGGCTCGGGGATCCGTACAATGACGTCTGGCCAGAACATCTTTGGACAAGGGAGCCCCACGGCTTCGTTGCTGAGCAGGTGCCCGTTGAAAACACAACACCATTGTACAGATGCGAGGACGCACTTGCAAAGAACCATTTGACCAGTGGGCCTCCAACTGATGCTCAGCAAACGTGAGCACGTGGCGCCAGGGCGCACCAGCCTATTATGGTGGTTGCTGGGACACATTTTGCATTTTTGCTTATTGTGTTTTAGTGGGAAGCCCCCACTCAACCGCTAAGATTTAAGTGTTTGCTCCCCTTCCAACGTCAACCAAGCTATATGCATTATGCATGGAACCACCTTTTCAAAGGCAAGGCCTCGTTTGGCTGCAGCTCCCTGCGAGTGCCACAAATCCTCGCGGTCGCCGGGCCTTCCATGCCAAATGCCCCGAGGAAGCAGCGCATCGCCATTGCCCGAGCCTTGCTCCGGGACCCGGCAGCGCCTTGCACGGACATGGGGGCGGGTGGTTGTCGCAATGGGCTGGGTGTGGTAAGAAACCAGGGCCTCGCAGCAAAGAGCGGGCATTGTTTGAGCACCTTTTGCAAGTTGCACTGCTGTATCCCTGCTCAGGCAGGAGCCAAATGTCAGACTAAGCATGTTGATACCATCGGCACGGAATATTAAGACGAATGGAGAACAAACAAGTACTCATTCGTTGAAGCCGAAGTCGTGGTTGAGGCTAAAATTGATGTCGGTCGCAGTTCAAGCCGGGTGGCTTCATTTCGTCGCAACTCATCCTCTGAATGCAGAGTGTTGCGAACCGTCTGATCTTTTTTTCCGCGCATGGATCACGGAACGCAACCCTGGATTTCAGTTTGAAGGCTCCAAGACAGTTCCGCCTCTCTTGGTGTCTGATTGGTCCTTTTGACATGCATGGCGGTGGCCGGGACCTTCATCCCTTTCCTGGGTTGAACCTTCAAGTTGGTACCCTTCCATGGACCTTGTCCCTTCCACTTTTGACCTCAGGGTTTTGTTGTTCGCTTGGACCTTCAGGTTGTTGAGAGTTGGGACGGAAACGGATGGTCTCAAGCGAGGGCGTCGCGTTGTTTGTCTAGCCACGTTTACCGTTTGTGTGTCTAGCCACGTGTACAGGGAACGTAAAATCTTGTTCAGCTTCGTGTGGGCAGTCACTTGCTCCCGCGTTGTGTTGTCAGTATGGCCATCATTCGTCATAATACGCCTGTATGGACACCACTGCAAACTTGATGATAATTGTATTGCGTCTCTTTTTCCTAAACCGCGGTTTGTTTGTTTCCTCCCACCAAATCATCATCATGATGATCATCATCATCGTCGTCGTCGTCGTCGTCGTCGTCGTCGTCGTCGTCGTCGTCGTCGTCAACAAGAACAACATACTCAGCAGGCCAACTGCCTGGAGTCCTTTGCATCTTAGCAACAGCTTGCTTCTCTTCAAGCTGAAGAAAAGCTTCTTTCTTAGTAGAAGATCCAGTTGCCCTGTGGGTGAGGCGTCGTCTTCTTTGCCGCGATGGTCAGAGCACAAATTGTAGAGGCTCGCCTCCTCCCTGGATCGTGTTTCAAAAATATTAATGTTTTCGTTTTTGCGAACCTCAGAATGGTTTGGAAAGGAAGGAGACGCGTTCAGGTTGCCCTTTCAAACCTGTAACAAAGAAAGCGGTGCCAACAGCAGCAAACCTGGAATGCTGTTTGTGGCTCAACCATGTCCTTACAAATCTTCTGTGTGTGCTAGCTGCACCCATTGGTTTAGTGCGAAGCCAAGGGGGGGGGAGAGGGGGGGAGGTACCCGAGATAGCCTCCCCCCCATAGTCCTCTCCAGTCCATGAAATAAACAAAATGCATCCAACCCCTCCCTACCACCTAGTTGGGTACTGAGTGTTACTCGCCCTGGCCTTCAAATGGCTCTCAAGCGGTTCTCAAGCGAGGGCTGCATGCGGAATATCCGAGTGAAACCCATAGGAACAACCACAACCACTCGACGCAGCAAGATTTGGGTATGGGTCAAAATTAAAGCACCAGGGGTCCGCAGGTTTTAGTCCTTGGTTCCATTTACTAGGGTTTCAAAATGGATACCCATTTTTGACCCACAGCCATTTTGCGGGCATTCCCGTTGGTTTCTTGTCTTAGTGTATGCAAAAGTCAGGTACTTTTGCTGGACGAAGCCACGAGCTCGCTGGATGCTGTGAGTGAGCGCCTGGTGCAGGACGCTTTGGACAGGCGAGGTCGGCTGATGGGCGGGCAAGCGGGGCGGGCGGAAGCGTCAGACAGAGAGGTGACCTGTTGAACGCTCTAGTGGTACCCTCCCCATTCCCTTCAGGGATCTTCAAAAAATTGGCCAAACACCTGGAAAAAATGTGGTTTCTAAAGAGAGTGATGGGTGAAGATAATGGGGAATCAAACCTTATTAGAAACGCCCCAGGTTGACTTGATTCATAATTATTATATGGCTTTGTTGAGGGTGCCACACTTTTTGGGTGGTGTTTAAAGAAAGGACATCACCCATGTTAAGGGGTTTCTTTTTTTCTTTCTGAGACACACCCATATTCTTCCATTTGCTGAAATCAACATGTTTTTGATTTTCTCGCGTTGGTTTCTAAGGGCATCTATCACTACTGGCAATATGTAAAGTGATTCCCGGTAACTTAAGCAAATGGAAGCTTATCTTGCAGTCAAGGAATGGTCGCATGGGAGATCTTTGTACCAAGTTTTGTCAGGCTTGGCTTAGCCCCAGAATTCAGAAGTGGAACAGGGCTTCAAGGAAAATCCGCAAAAGCCCGCTTTGACCTGCAGCACCTGTGATGATGATCTGTCATGTCAAAGACTCCGCATGGCACCTTCGTGTGTACATTCCATGGAACGACTTGTTTGCGCCACCGCATGACGCATGGCCGTTGTTGCGCACCAAGTCTCAGTCCGTCATGCTTGTATGTCTTGGATGCGTGATTTGTTGGTTTCTCAAGCTTCCATGACAAGTGCAGAGAGAGGTTTAGCCAGAAACGCGCCATCGTTCACAATCACCTGTACCAGTGGTGTTTCCCATGCATCCTCGCGAATGCTCGACGCGGCAACTAAGGCCCACCCAGTCAGAGCACGTTTTTTCTGTGGGTTGAGGCAGGTTTCACCTTGAAACACGCGGGGGTACCAAAAAGGCGCCAGCCTGTCGGTGTCCTCCGCGGGCGGGTGTGCTCCCCGAGGCTCATGAGGTCAAAGCCTAGGACGACCATTATCATCGCGCACAGGCGGACGGGGGAGGCGTTTCGGAAGTCGAAGCTTGAGTCAGCAGGCGATCTGATGCAGTTTGCCAACTTGATCAAAAACTGGGCAGAACCGGACCACATGTTGCAGGAAAATCGGGAGTTCCAGGAGAATGTAGTTTCTGTCAAGCTTGCAATCCCATGATGCCTGCATTGTTCGAAGTCACTGGCCTAGACACTTCAGCTAGAATGAATTCGCATTATCAGTCTGAGAAGAGGTCTTTGCTTGACCCATTCTTGTGCAACTTTTCTTTCAGAAAGCGGTGCACGATGGGCCGCAGGCTGTCAACCGTGCGGGACGCCCATCAGATTTGTGTCTTCAAGGATGGGCAGATCGTGGAGAAAGGCAAGCACGCCGCTCGGCATGGGTTAAGCCAGCTTGCAACTGGAGAAGCTCAGCGTTCTCTGCCTCCTTGCACGAGCTTGCCGTCTTTGTCCGCATCACTTTTGCTTCCGCAGACTTGTTTAAGCCAATGCCAGCTCATCTCGATCATGAGTGCTCCTTCCTAGCAAATGCTGAACCAATGCCAAACCCAACTGCCAACCGCCAAGCCAATATTGAGCTTGCACTCAGCAAGTGCCACCACATATTGCTCAATAAAAGGGCAAGACCACTGACAAGACCAGCTGTAAACTAAATCATGCCACGACATCGAGAAACTGGCGGTTTACCTTGGCAACTTTCGAGTTGGGTGATTCTCGCTTGGTGGGCAGTGTCAACGAACCAAGGGGGGGACCAAGCGGAACGAGCAAGGTTCTAGGGCTCCCATGGCGTGTGAAAGGAATGACACGATGGGGAATACGCATCCTGAAATTGTGATTGGCCATAATAAGCACCAACGGAAGGAGAAGCACACACACACACAACGGCACAGGCAACTTACCCTTTACACAGCCACCCAGCCAGCTCTACTTTGCGGTTTTCAGTGGGGTGAGGCTGCAGTTTTGGTGCGGTCAGATGATCCAGCACGCCAGACTGCCCTGGCAAGTCACCAACAGATGGCCGTAAAAGCTACAGTTTAAAGGTCATTTGGCCGTGGGTCAAAACCAATGGTACCATTGTGGGGTAGGTGCACCACCCGTTTTAGTCTATTTTAGTGGGGATTGGGATGTTCACTGGGGGTAGACTTGGCTTTTGATTCATGGCCATTTCTGACAAACTTTTTGGTTCGCTGCTTGGAGGTGAATCCCTGAAGTGAGTGGGTGTTCACATTCAGCCAGCATGTGCCAGGGTGCGCTTGCCCAGCAAGCTTGTGGCCTGCTATGCAGGGCATGAACGCCCTTGCGCAAAACCTCGGGCCTGCTGTGCTGTGCAAATCTATTGCAACATTGGGCCCAACAAGCACGACTTAAGTGCCTTTGAACTCATCGTAGCCACAAGTACCAAGCACAGCAAATAGTACGGGGACTGTGTCTGACCAATTTTGGGGAGGGAAGGGGTTTGAAAGTGTGTGACACAGTTCCTGCGTTCCCTGGCCTTTGGCTAGGATGCCTGAATCGGTCAGGTCATGCAGTGGACGGGGACGTTGGACCTTAGCGGGTGTTGTGCCCAAAGAGCCATGGTATGTTGGTGCCCCCGCGTCCTGCACCCCCCCCTCCCCCCGGGGCCACCCAAAAGAAAAGCAGAACCGCCCAAACCATAAGTTGTTTGTTGCCCGCATTTGGGTACGGGTCAAAAATAAGCCACCAGGGAACCGCAGGTCTTAGTCCATGTTTCCATGTACCCGGGCTCTATATTGGGGACCTATTTTTGACCCGCACCCATTTCGGCAGCCTGATGGTTGGGGATGGCCCAATCTGAGGAGCAGCTCATTGCAGTCCGAGATGGGCACTACTCAAAGTTGGTGGCCGCACAGCAGCTTCCTGGCCGCCAGATGGGGCGACTTGCGCTTGGAGCAGTGGATCGGTCATCTCGAGCCGCAGAGATTTTGTGTGTGTTGCGGTCGGTAGCCCTACTTGGGGCTTCATCAAGTACCTCGTGTATTAGAGGTGTTTACCGAAACATGCTGTGAGTGTGCCATGGGGCAGGCCATTGAATTTGAGGATCATTAAATCAGTATAAGTCGAGTCGGAAAAAGGATCAAATTGCCACCAGGTGATGATGAGTTGTTCTGGTGTTCCAAACCCAGGGAAATAACACATGGACCACTCGCCCATCCAGGATCAAGCTATGCATGCCTTTAGTGCCGTTCAGACTGCTTGTGCACACCAAGGATCAGCGTGTGAGCAAGCTGGTGCTGGCAAGACGGGGGTGGATCGAGCCAATGGGCCAGCGCATCCCCGACAATGCATGCGATGCATGCGGAAGCCCTGGAAGGGCCCCGCTGTTTTCTTGTGTCACTCGGCGCATGCGACGTGGCGCGTGCCGAAGCCTTGGCGCGAAGGTTTTCCGTTGAATCCGTGCCGAAGCGCGAAGGAACCGCCAAAATGTTGCATCCTGCTCTGCTGGCTTGGGCCTGTCGTCACAGAGCCTTCATTCAGGAACGAGCATGACCACTTAACAGGCAGTGTGGGCAAGCCATGGGCAAGCCAGCTTTTTCATGAATGCCCGAGGGAGGCATGTGGACCGATCAAGAGCATTGATTTGTTAAAGCCAGTGGCATCATTTGACATTGGTCCATTTGCTTGGCTCGTGTGACAGGCAAGATCCCAGCTTGCCTGGGTGGCTTCCCCAGTAACATACCACTAGGAACGTAGCCGTAAGATCCTGTTTTCCTGGAAGAAACCGCGGTGATAGTTGAGATGTGGGAAGGGCAGCGGTCTCTGCCTCAAATCGCCAGGCACACAGCGAAGCAGAGAAGTCCGTGGGTCCAACCAGGAGAGGGACTGGCACCGCCATGCGTAGCTCGGGATTCGTTGGAAGGCACCACGGACTTGTATCGTGGATCGCGGTGAAGTGGACATGCGCAGACTTCTTGCGGGTGTTTTCATGCCCAGCATCTTCTTGAGATCCCAGGTGACTTTTGGCATGCCCGCTCTGGTTCAGCATGGGCTGTGTTTTGATAAATCGGTTGGCCATTGGTTCTGTTTCGAGCCATTCTGTAAATCTAGGGGGGCCAAATTGGGGGGGGGAAAGGCGCTATCGGATGAGTTGATAAGCCCTCAAGGCCTTTTTCAGGGATAGCCCCCCCCCCCCCTCCAATTCGCCCACGCCACCCGGATCCGGATGGATCAGGAGCTTCTACCCGGAGCCCACGAAGGGGCTTCTACTTCAGTGGCCCTGGCCTGTGGAGATACTCCCCGCCGCTGAAAATGGATGTCACGTGGATATTGTTTTTTATATAAGTATACAATGTTAAAGATATACATATTATATATATATATGTATATACATATATATATATGTATTATGTATATATATATATGTATGTATTTTATGCATACATATATATATATATATATATGTATACACTGTTTACCCTACAAGATTGTCCTTGGTCGATCAACCCCAGGAGTACGCGAAGCCGAAGCATGAAGCCGACCTGAGACTTGCCATTTGCTGGATGGACTTCCACCAAAACAAGCGAGCTCAAAGTTGAGACGACTCGGCTGAACCCGCAGTGCCCAACAACAGCTCATTCTGAAACGCTGCTGCCCAACCCATGTACGGAAATCCTGAATCATGCAGCAGGGTTGTTCAGCACGACAAACGTAGCACCTGCGGGAAGGTACCTGGAAGATCAGTTTCCTCTTAAAGGAACTCCCTGTAAGGTGCTATGTTAGTGCAAGGGAGGGTAGCAATTGTGGTGGCCCTGGTTAAGAAATGTTGCGGGGTCTGTGGGAACGTATCCATTCCTGGCATGCACCGTGGCACACGGTGCTTGTGCCACGCCAGGCCTGTGGTTCCCCTAGACAACCTCAAGAACCAGCCTTGGCAACCCGGCCATGTCTTGGCCCAGGCATGTTTGATACACCAGAGGCTGCTAATTACTTTCTTTCTTGCTTGAAGCTTTGAAGTCAGGAGCTCTGCAGCTCAATCAGAACCAGTTATTGATCCTTGTCTGTGCCGCTTGGAGAAGATGCGATGGTCGCAGTGGGAGGTACCCCCGCAACGAGCCGCAGATTCAGGAACCAGAGCCTGAGGTGGGTTTTGCAGCTGGATGTACGGGAGCTTTTCCAAGGTTGCCACTTGTCCCCGCAAAAAGCTCTCGAAAACTGGATTCACAGATTTGCCACATCTAAACCCGTTTTCTAGAGGAGCTGCTTGACAACCGACAACTCGTGGATGGACACCCAGAATGGCATTTGTTGTTTCTCCTCATACTTCCTGAAGAACGCCCCAGAGCATTTTTCTCGACAGATTCTTTTGCAACCGCCGGACCAAAGGTGAGTTCGAGATTCTTCTCATCCAGGCGAACGCAATTTAGAGCATCCCAAGTTGATTGCAGCAGTTAACGGCAACACCAATTGGCAAAATCACGGCAAGACACAAAGGCGAAAAGAAGTACCTTATACCACCAGTATCCAGCAAATTTGACGGCATGGCACGCCTTGCAAGCATGTGTGCCTTCACATGCGCAGCAAGTCTATGATATTCAAACTCAATTCACTATCGCAATCAGGTGACCATGATGGCTTGCCCTTGAGCTTGAAACAACGGTCGCGCATTGTTCCCCCCCATCTCCGTAGACACAGCATGTTGCGCAACATGAGCCATGACAAGCGACAGTTATGTTCTTTCCCCCCACAAGGGTTGAGTTGTTGCTTCATGTCGGAAGTAAGGCAGCGCATGCCCAGGCAGTGTCAGTAAGCAAGCACACCAGCAGGTTGAACACGCAGCCGTACGCTTGGGTTTAGGTGGGGTAGCCTTTGAGTGCAGTCGTTTCGAAGCAGAGGCTCAAGCACGGGGCGAGTTGTTGGCTCTGGTGCACCGTCCAAAACGCCCGTGACCCAGAGCCAGGATGAGGTTTCATCAAAAACACGGCAGAGTGGCCTCAAATCTCTGCAGAAGAGGCCAGTTTCGGCGGACACCCATGGTGCGTAGGCTGAATCTCTGGTTTCCCCAGTTCAGGCACACTGCTTTTCAAGTGTCAATCATAGTTGGTGCATGGCGACTGGCCGGATTGACTGGCGGCAGCATCCGCGCTCAAGCCTTCGGAAGTGAAGGGAAGAGGCTGAGTGGTGTGTGTGGACTCGCTGCAAGTTCGAAACCACTTAGATTGCAATTCAGAGGAGTGAAATGTGCTCTCACTTCTAAGGGAATGCGGCTTATGACGAAGTTCCCTTTTTGGCGTAGCATCTTTTCAGGTTGGTGAAGTATTCTTATGCATGGCCTATTCCCCATTCTTGCCTTCTTTGTGCAGGGAACGGCCTTCCCGGCACAGTCTGCATTGCTTTTGTTTTGCAAGTTCCCTCTGCTTGAGAGGGAAGGGACCCCGGACACCATGACGCCAGCCCATTTTCATTGGGACAAGGGCCGAGGAAACCGAGTCCATTACGCCCTGCTCCATTCAAGCCGGACATAGTCACACCGCCGGAGCGCATGTTTCTCTGGCATGTTTTGGGCCAAAATGTGTGCGAAATGGAGCAGGAGGCAACCCCCATGCTTTCATCGGATCACACGTCGCTGGGGCATCTCTGTTGTTGCTGCCACTGTTGGACTTGGGGTCTAACTAGTTCTCAGTCCGCAAGCTTCAGGTAGCTTTGACCCATGTGGCTTCTGCTGGCATGGGCCACGACGGCCAGAGGCCCAACAAGCAAGCGGATCGCCAGTGGTTGGATGTGAGCGGACGTGTGCAGTGAGGGAAGTGCCGTTTTGATAGGCCGGCATCCCAACAAGCCAAGACTGTTAAGAGGCAAGCTGAGCCTGCACACGAACATTGCAGGCCTCGTGCTTCCAGGTGACAAAGCAAGCCATTTCGTCCGTGCCTGTTCAGTTTCAGGCCATGCTTCTGAATCGTTGCCAGCCTCTGAGCAAATTGAGGCAAGGGAGCGTGTATGATCCATGAAGCATCTTGAAGCAATTCAAGTTTCGGTGATCCCAAATGGGTTCTACCAAATGGGTTCCGTTCGGATGCACACATCTGGGGCAGTCTGGCTTGTTCACCATGCAGACGTGCGGGTTTTGGTCCGCGGCCTTAGGCCCTGGCTGCGCCCAGCTTGCGCCCCGCGGCCGTCCTACTCTCAAAGGACCCGATCTGCTTGTGGGCATAGCCCCTATGAATGGAATTGGGGAATTGGGGGAGGAGGGTGGCCCTAGATCTGTTTTTGTGGGGGGGGCTAGAAACACGAACTTGGCGGGGCATGTTTGGGCCATGGCCATGTGGTGCATGTCAAACAGTGACATGCATGGTGCTTTCACAAGCTGCCACATTCGCCTGTTTGACACCTCAGTGCCATGCCCTTCTGAACCACTGCTGCCCTTAAACAGGGAGCTATGTTCGTGAGGGCGACGAGTGGTCGGGACCATTGCCAGGAAGAGCTGTCAAGCCTTTCCAGCACCGAGTCTTCGCTGCAGTCCACTCTGAGCCAGGCCTGGATGGGCACGTTTTGCTGTGCAGCTGTGACCTGCTCATTTGCCCAAAGCTCATGGCACCATGTAATCCCATTTCGGCCCCGGGGTGTTGTCGAGAGGCCGCCTTCACCCGGGCTATTTTATGCAGTTGGCCTTCGTCCGCCCGTTTGTTTTACGTGACTTTCTGACTGCACGATTGGTTTTGCCTACGTTCACATTGCAATAGGGGCTGAATCAGTGCTTGGAGAGGTACAGCGCAGGTGTGTGACCTGTCGAACTTATCACGTCCTTGGGTTCTAATCGTTCATGTGGGTGTGGGTCAAAAGTAAACCGCGGGTTTTGGTCCATATTTCTTTCCACTTACAAGGGTTCCATTTGGGGTACCTATCTTTGACCCACAGCCATGTCATAAATGTTACCTGGCTCAGTTCCTTTGGTGCCACTTGAGTTCCCACGGGTCCTCAATAGCCCCGCATCAAGGCATGTCTTCCTCGCTGCTCCCTTAGGCATCAGGGAATTCCGCCACAGCGCAGCTGCAGGCAGTTTCTGAGCAAGGGGCTTAATCATGATACGTATGTCGTGGCCGCAAAAAAAACAACAACTCGTAGAAGTGGTACGCCAACTGGCATTTGTGTTTTCCTGCGCGTGATCGGGTTTTCGGACTATGTGTGGTGTGGTTGTTTCTTTGAAATTGGCCTCACGGGTGGGCGGGCAGTTGTGACGGTGCAATTGCCAACAGCAAGCTGGCCAATATGCGAAATGTTTGATGTTG